TTGATATGGAAGCATCTTCAGGTAGTGTAGATTCAAGTTTGTTCAAATCATAACCCCCAGGGGTAGGGTGGGGCCACAATGTGGGATCAAATTTTACATAGGAATATATAGGAAAAAATCTGTTCAACAACAGAAAAGCCATGTTTAGTCATATTGATATAGAAGCATCCTCAGGTAGTGTAGATTCAAGTTTGTTCAAATGATGGGGGGGGGGGGAGGGAGGGTCCACAATGGGGGATCAAATTTTTAATAAGGGAATATATAGGAAAAAAATCTTTAAAAATCTTCTGCTCAAGAACAGCAAAACCATTTGATATATTGATATGGAAGCATCCTCAGGTAGTTCAAAATCCAAGCCCCCCCCCCCCCCCCCCCCTTTAAACTTTTCAATACTGAAGTGATTTGTGCTTTTTCCTAGCCAATGTGCTCAGGTGAGCGATGTGGCCCATGGGCCTCTTGTTAAAATGTTTCCTGTCAGTTTGTCTCTATGTAATCAATACCTAACTATCTTTGCAGTGCTCTAAGGATTTATATAGCGTAAGCATACTATGCCAAAATAGTTCACAGCTGTCTTTTTGAAAGGAAATGTGTAAAGCTCAAAGTTGGGTGTCGAACTTGCGATTGTGAGATTGTCTGTCCCACACATTACCATTACGCCACAAAAACCTTTCATTAACCAAATGTATTTATAGCTAGTATATATACATAGTTTTCCTAGTAACATTTGACACCAAAAAAAAAATAATTAAAGAATATCATTTTCAAAATGCTGATATCATTGACAAGGATCTTGAAAAAAAAATTCTCTAATAAATACTTAAATGTATCAATATTCAAAATTGCAATGTAACAGGAGTCATTAAAATGCTTTTAGATATAACACTTGTTAAAAGAATGTTCAAGAAAATTTTCATTTAGATTTAACATCCGCAAACAGCTTTGGGATTCAGAATTTTTATTAAATTGTCATATACAAACAACAGTCAGCATAATAATCAAATTAGTGTTATTATTTAGATGTACTTTGCTGAAATAGTAGTCAGGGTTTGACACATAATGCACTCTGATTTCTGGCTCGTGCATGATGTGTCAAACCCTGACTACTATTTCACAAAAATTCTGCACAGTCACTATTTTTTGGAATACCACTCGTCGTCAAGCAATGTTGACTTTTGCTACGCTGGAGGGCGTGGCTTCATCATTCAACGGGTAATAGTGTTTTTAGCTCACCTGAGCCGAAGGCTCACTGACAAGTGAGTTTTTCTGATCACTTTTTGTCTGGCGTCCGTCTGTCTGTCTAGCTATCCATCTGTCTGTAAACTTTTAACATTTTCGACTTCTCAAGAACCACTGGGCCAATTTCAACCAAATTTGCCACAAAGTATCCTTGGGTGACTGGAATTCAAGTTTGTTCAAATCAAGGGACAGGCCCTCTTTCAAGGGGAGATAATAAAGAATTAGTGAAAAAATTAATAGCATCTTTTAAAAACCTTCTTCTCAAGAACCAGAGGGCCAGGAATGTTCAAATCATGACCCCAGAGGGTAGTGTTGGGCCACAAGGGAGGATCAAAGTTTTACATAGAAATATACAGGAAAAACCTTTAAAAATCTTCTTCTCAGAAACAGCAAACCCCTGATTGGTCTTATTTATATGGAAGCATTTTCAGGTAGTGTAGATTCATTCGCCTACATTTTACATCCATTTATTTCAATACTTATGGCAATTTGGCTGTAAAATCTTTGTTTAATGCAAAGAACAGTTCAATGGTAATTGACTGATAATTTTAATACCAGTGTTAAATAGTTAATTACTCCTAATTCCAGCTCTTTAAATAAGGGGGGTAGACGATATTTTTCATTGAAAATCGGGCTTTAAAGCATCACCACATTTTAAAATATTCTTGGATATGAATAAATGTTCCTTAAATCTTTTCTTGTGTTTTACTCATATAAAATTAAACATATATTAATAATGAAATACAATGTTTTACTTGTAAACCCCTTTGAAATCGGTGAAAAAATTAGCATTTTTGTAGTTTTTTGTCTGTAAACATATGTTCCCCCCCCCCCCCCCCCCCCCCCCCCCCCCCGTAAAACACAAAAAGCTTTGGTATGAATTTGTGAAATGACAGTCCATATTGCCTGTAAAAAGGAATTTTTGTTGGGGGGGGGGGGGGGGGGGGGAGATGTTTTGAAATTTGAAAGTATTTTCCATTGATTTCTATAGTGAAAAACACAAGTTTTACCAAAATTATAGAGTTATCTCTCTTTGTTTTCCCAAAGAAGTAATGTTTTATGAAAACTTATATAAATATCTATATAGATATGAAAAATCATTCAAATGTGTTAACTTTTGAAATCTGACTTGGAGGTAGGTGGGAGAACAATACTATTGTTCGCAGTTCTTTGTTATATTGACATGGAAGCATCATCAAATAGTTTAAAATTCATGCCCCCCCCCCCCCCCCCCCCTTTTAATCTTTTCAATACTGAAGTGTTT